GGCAGTCGGCCACAGGTGCAACGCGTCAGCACAGCCTGCAAGGTTGTGCTGGCATTCGGTTAAATTGGGCCCCTGACTGAAGCGGACTTTGTTAGCTGAACTCAGGCAGATTCCGCATGAATATGTAACACGAGGTGGGCTGACTTGGAAGTCCTTGTAATGACGCGCAGTAGCGTTTGTCAGATTGATTTTTAAACTACCGAACTTATAAGCATGAAATTCGCGAATACTTATTACCCGAAGTCTATTGTCAAACATTTAAACCAAATAAGTAACGGAGCAATCAGTCCGAGAAAACTCATTGTTTTCTATTAGCCACATGAAGGTAAAATTAATTTTGTCATTCCTTAGGTTGCACCACATGGTGGCAAATTGTCGTCTGGGGTCGACAGGCTACGTCTACTCCGGCAGTGAAGCTGGCACGATTAAACTCGCTCATTCATTTCAAGTTTAAGTCTTATTCAAAATCCTTTTTCGTTTGCATCTTTACTATAAACAGTAAAACTGTTTGTTCAGCAAGGGCATGTTCGACTTCCTCGAAAGGATTGGGGTACACTGGGCCTGGTGCTCGGACCACATCCTCCTAAACTGATTCCCAAGATGATAAATTACTGAAAGTAATGATTATAAAGCATACCGACGCGCAGTGCCCCGAATACGTTTACAGAGTGCAAGGTTAGGGGGATTGGTATATACGTTGATTAACGTTCACTGATCGTTCACGAAACTCGCTCGTCCTGTTCTACGTTGGGGCTCATTCTCTAGCCCCATCAGCAGCCGCACAGCGACTCGAAGTCTAGGCAGACATCAGCGTGGGCAACGACAAGGGAGACTGGAATGGCTACTTCTGGTTCGTTAGCCGTCATCAGCTAGCCATACCCAACCCCAAATGGTGCCCCACCCGAGGCTCGAACCCGTGACCTTTTTGGTAACTTGTATGCCCGCCTGGACAGGATACGGGAATAGAAACGCTCTGCCCCCTTAGGGTATGTGGCCTTGCGATAAATTTCAGGCAAGATAAATATTTCCGTGCTTTAACTTTAATATGAACCTCAAATATAATCTTGTAATCTAGAACCCAGCCCTTACGTAAAGCCTGCAGTTAACTAAAATCGAAATCTTACAAAAATCCTGATCGTAACCCCAACCAGAAAGATGGCCCTAAACTTAACCCTCACCTTAATCCTAAACGCAATTCCTCTACCACTTGGCGCAACGGCACATGCGCTGTGGGTAGTTCCTGTTCCCGTACTCTGTTTAGGCGTCCTTACCGACTGGAACTCAACTGCCTTCTGTAGGCCTCAACATGGTAACGCAAAAACTAGTTCCCCCCCCGCCTTTCCCATGGGGCAGGACAGCAGAAGGGTAACAAATCAGAGCCTTTATAGAGCACCAATTCCAACCTACTCCTGTACAAAATTCTTCTGCATTCAATAAATGCCGATGTACTTAGTTGCCGAGAAGCCTGCGAAGGCCAATGAAGCCAGCGCACATCTCCACCAGGTGCCGACTGGAGCCGTAGATCAGCCACTGCCTTTACACCTGTAGCGGCGGCTGACTTAATCGATCCTTGTGGCTGACATCCAGTTCTCGAGCTTGATAATTGGCTGCATTACTGACCAATAAGCAGGCACCCTTCAGCGCCTCAGTATACTCTGCGCGGCTGAGGATAGGACCCAGGGCGGGACTGAGGAGGGCCGTGTGCAGGAGCTGGAAGGTATTGCCGCGAAGGACGGTAACGGCA